AAGAGCAAAAAATTTATTGAGTGCCTCATTTTTCACCCATCACCTGAATATGCTCATGGTTTCTGTATTTCAGTATGCCTCCATTGTACTCTTATGCAATCATTTTTTTTTAAAATCTTCTTGAGGAGAATAAAATGTAAGCTAGTACATCTCATTGTTATGTTTTGTATTAAATGTTCTGAAGACTGACCAATGGTTCCTTTTTTCTGTCTTTTGACTATAATATCAGATTGTGCTTTAGGTGAGTTAAAAATGCAAATATGTATACTGCTGTTTCAACTTCGTAAGGTGGACTGCCCTGAAAAGCCAGATTCAAGAGAACTGGCTTGGCCAGAGGAATTTTCGATTAAGTTCTCTCCAAATGCATGTCCATTTAGAAGCTAAATTAACAAAACTCTCCTCATCGACTTCTCAAGTTCTCTCTTGCATGCCCATGGTAGCTAGAAAAACCACTAGTAGAACAGTCAGCATCTTTTATATCAATTTAGAAATAAAACTCACATGTACTTATTCTTCTACATAGTGTCTCTCCTTGCAGTCAAAACAGAGCCTTTGAACAGCAGTGAAACCACAACCACGACTGGAGATGGAGCGCTTGACACTTTTACTGGGTCAGGTAAAGCCTTAAGCTCGTGTGTTGTTACGTACACATCGGGGTACACACAATTCTCCTAGTGAATGAGCAGCGTAAACACCAAAGCTGTTAGAACGTAGGTTTCTATACATTTAGCAATAAATTAACTTTTTTGAGAACTGATTGTCATAAAACTATGCATTTTTAGAAATTATATTTGGATTAGATTTTTTTTAGTTGACAGCAAAACAATTCCCCTTGACTTTCTTATCAGAAATAAGCAGAGGTGGCTTCCTTCATAATTATTTTATACAGTGCTTACTTTAATAATTAGGTTGTAATAGTTGACTTTATCCCGTCAACTTGCCCATTCAAATGACATAAAAACTGCCTTTTCTCCAACATTTGAGATGTAAAACTATCCATTTGATTCCTTCTAAATAACCTTGTTTCCTCTCTGGGTTTAAAAAAAAAATCCTCCCATGCAAGCAGCTGAGTGACAAGTATTAAAGGTTAATGGGCTGCAGGAGAGCACATGCGGGTTGCATTAGAACCAGCCTCTGAGAGCACTACTTTCACTCAAATGCTTCAAAGAGAACAATGGCGTGTCTTTAAACATCAATCCTTTTAAATACCAATACCTGATAACTCCCAGGTGGGCACAGAGGACACGCATTAAGTTGACTTAGTTAAAGTTACAATATTTTGTTTGGTTTATTATCTGGTGAAAGGATTCTTTTTTTTAATGTGAGGAGGAATGTGTATAGCAGAAAGATGAACATTAAACCTGGAAAAGTATTTGTGTTAATTAAATCTTGGTTCTGTTATTCTATTTTATTTTACATTTTTCCATGTTCTCATGGACAAGGGTTTCATGTGGGTAAGCTTCATGTAAAGAGTTGAGGTATATTCTTGAGGATAATGTCATTATAGCATATATTTGATTTTTAAAGATAAAGATGATCCCATTTCCTGAGTTCACACTGATTGGGAGTGCTTGTCATGTATTCACATAAATAGTAGTACTCCAAACAGAAAGAAATAATACATAAAGATTCATATGTGTTAATCTATATTTTTTTCTAGCAATTCACTTGCCTCCCAGGAGCTAAATAGGGACCAACTAACTCTAGCATTCTTTATTACTCATTATAACCCTTGTAAACTTTCTACAAAGTAAATGCATATGAACATATTTTTAAGGAAAGGAATGGAATTATAAGTAACTGATGACATACTTAAATAGCATATCACAAGTTAACTGAAAGCTAAATGACAAAATTACAGAATGTTAGCTCCAGAAGGAATTTTAGAGATCTATGGTAAGAATACTAAGGCACTGAGAAGTTAACAGTGGTTAAGGCCAGACAATCAAAACTGCACAGATAGTCTCTGCTATAAATAGTCTAGAACAGTATTCTGAGCTATTCGGGAGTCTTTCTGTGATACCCATAGGAAAATATAAACATGAGGAAAAAAATAACTGGGAAGAGTCACCCTATCTGAAATTCACACACACACACACACACACACACACACACACACACACACAGATTTTTTTTTACAAAGTTTCTTCATTTTCTTTTAAGAATTATCTAGGACTGTGCTGTCCAAAAAGTGGCCACTAACCATATGTGGCTATTTAAGTCTAAATTGACTAATATTTAGTACAAATTTTAAAAAGCCATGTAGTTACACTAGTCACATTTCAAGTGTTTAATAGATGTATGTGGTTTTTCTAATGGCTTTCATACTGGATAACTCAGGTATAGAACAATTCTAACACCATGGACCAAGTTCTTTAGGACAACAATGACTTAGGTCAGCAATCCTCAAAAGCAGCACTATCTACAATGGACTTATTTCCTATTGTGAGGTAGTTGTCCTCTGCATTGCAAGATGTTTAGCAGCATCTCTATCATCTATACAAAATAAGTAGCACCCTCCACTTATGACAACCCAAAATGGCTCCAGACATTTTTAATGTCCCCTAGCAAGCAAAATTTCTACTCCACCCCCAACCTCATCCCCTACCTCTCACCCTGTTGACAGTCACTGAGCTAAGGTTCCATGATCATAAGAATAAAACATTAAAATTGCTTGACATCATACTCTGAGAACCTGATAATATTCTTTATAATTTTGTTTTAATTAGTTTTCAGGGAACTTTTAAGGCAAGCAGTTTTGCTTACTTTTATAGGCAGAAATGATGGGGTATAATGAGTATAGTGCTTTGGGTAATATCTCTAGATTAATTGGATGGCAATGGGGAAGGTCTCCATGGTTCTCCAGAAATCATACTGAAGATTAGGCTGCCTGGGTAGCAACTGTCTTTACTTTGTTCAGCATAAGCTCAACTTCACTTTAGTTAAATTTTATGGTTGTTATCAGTTACGTGGAGATTTATGTTAGAATGAAATGTAGACATTTTAGTTAAGAAGCATAAACTCTCCAAGTTTTTTGCGAACATCCTAGTTTTCTGAAACAAAGATCTTATGTTATATTTAGAAAATGAACATATAGACATTAATATGAAATTTTAATTGACCCTTTATACTGTTTTGAGTGCATCATTCTAACGATTTCTAGATTCATTCGTTAGAGGGAGAAAGGATCATATATATTCAGACTTGTGTTCACCCATATGGATTTTTCTGAAATAATTCTGCTCCTTGGCTTATTTAATAAAAGCTTCTTCAGAGAATGTTTCTTTTCAGTATTTGATGTCTCTTTGGAAAAGCCTTGTATTTCACAATCATGAAAACAACTGATTAGTATAGTCTAAGTTTTGAGTGTGCCAAGTGAAATTTTATAAATAAGAGACAAAAAACATGGAATTAAGCCTCATTCAACTATATTTTTGATAAATAGTATTCACTATTATGAATTAATGCATCAGACTGAATTTCCTGTGGAATCACGCTATGAATATTATGTAATGAACAGTTAGTGCCCATAGTGTAGTAAAAAACGTCTGTTCTCACTTGAAAGTTTTAAACATTCTTTAAGTTTTTAGTAAATAAGTATAAAATTAATGGTTCATTAGTCAATGTATTTTTAAATATATATAGTAAGCACACTTAAATAATGGCTGCTGAAAATATTTACAACATAACACCCTAGTCATAATTAATGATTTTCAAAATTGATTCATAATATTCTTGAAAACATACTTTCTGTACTGTTGCTATGAAAACTATAATAGACTTTCATCCTCAGAGTTCACAGGCCAAATAGCATTTTAAATACATTAAATTCTACCTGTTTATGAAGTAGCAGATCACAAGGGCACTTAATAGCATTTTGATATAGAAAAATCTCATGTTTCATGAAATAGTTAGCAACCTAAACCTATTTGTCACTTTTACAATTCTAAAAGTTTAGCTCTAGAATTATTATGAACAACTTAGAAAGGACATAGTACTTTGAAGTATAACTATGATTGATTAGACTAAACTAATTCCAGTGCTGCGTTGTGTACTACTTTAATCTTTTTGAAAGGTGAATGAACAGCAGATGGCCTAATAAAGACACTCTGTGTGCTTGCCCAGTATGGATTGGCTCTGAAGGGACTTCCTCAACACGGTAGAGCCCATATATTTGCAATACATCCGTCTTAGTCAAGCAGATGGTTAAAGGAAAGAGAAACTTCCAAACTTTTGGACATATTCCAGTTTGGGGCTGCATGTGTAGGTGAAATATTAACAGGACCTGGCTTTCACCTTTATGTTCTTCTCAAAAAAGTTCTATCTCTGATAGGTCAAAATATTTTTGTAAATAAGGTTGCTACTGCGTTTTGCAATTATGGTGTGTGTGTTTTTTTAAGTGTTGCATCATCACCCATGCGTTCTGTGTACATTGCAATTATTACTAGAATAGTTTGGACTGTATTTTTAAATTACTCATCTGATTGGTAAAAGAAAGAAAATAGAATATGGTATCATTTGACAATTTGAAAATCAAGGGTGGACTGTCACATTTTTCTTAATTTTTATTATAATTATATTAAAATAAATATGGAGGAAGGGTAATGTATTGGCATCATATTTGGAATTTAAAACATAAAGTTTGCAAATGAAAAAAAATTTACCTTTATATCATGAAAGAATAATCACCTGTAATTGAATATATTTATCCATAGCATATTAATACATAAAAGCATGCTACTGATTTGAGAAAATGAAAGAATGATGGAGACGAATGATTTTTAAGAATTCATTTCATGCTCTTAGAACAAAGTTGAAGCAGTTCAGTTAGAATAAGATGGGCATCTGTTTCTGTTTAGAAAATGAATTCATATTTTTGAAAATCAGTGAATTTTTAGATACATATCTTTAATGTGATAATGTCTTTAAATTGGTTTTGTATACTCTAGTGAAATATACTTATGAAGCAATCTTTTTGCACTTTTGTGTGTGTCTTACAGTAATAACAAGTAGTGGCTACAGTCCCAGATCAGCACATCAATATTCCCCACAGCTCTATCCTTCCAAGTAAGTGGTCAGTAGATTGTTTCAGATTTGTTAGAATAATTTTTCAGGATTACCTTTATTAATCTGTAGTCACACAACATAACTTTAAATTGGGATACATTTATGTATATAAATGTGTTATAGATACATACTCTGATAAATTAGTTGGACAGATAGATATCCTGTATAAATCTAGAAATAGAGATATACTCACTTTTATCTGGACAGTTCCCTTAATCCTGGATATTGTTATACCTTGAGGAAAGCATCAAGTTCAAAACAGAGCACACTGATTTTTTAAATGAAAACCCTAAAACGCTAATGAGTTTAAAGCAAATCTAAAACATTACATTTTATTCAAACATCGCTTTATAATCTGTTCCATCATTACAGTATTTTTATTGGATTTCAAGTCTTAATATATTTTTGAAGAAAATGCTGTACTGTTTTTATAAATAATGTAGTCAACTTATTGAGGGCAGTGGTAGAAATTTCAAGTTTAACTGTACTGATTGTATATCTAAATTTGGTTGCAGTCAGCCAGATGTGTCAAGATTTGGGATCCCTGATTCATACACATTTAAGCGTTCCTTTCTGCAGCAGCTAGAGTGTCTGTCTTTAAGAATAGGTAGGGGGTTGGGCATCCAGTTGGGAACATTTTGTAAAATGTGGCATGATGAGGGGAATGGCATTCTATTTATTTTCAAGAAGCTAGCTGCCTACTTTTTTTTTTTTTTAGATTTTAGTTCTTGGTAGAGAGTTCTTAGTAGCACTTTTAATGACTTTTGTAGTCATTGCATAGCATTAGGTCACTCACAGTAACTGGAAATATATTCACAAGCATATTAATTAATTTGCCTGTGCTCCATTTTCCATATATATATATGCTTTGTTTGATATAAATTAGATTGCTTTGTTTGATATAAATAAGAATTATAGGCCTGAAAGACTTTAGATGTAATTTCTCATTTTCCAGGAAGGTATAGACTTAGAGAGTTTAAAGTGTTTGTCCAAGGTCACTAGCCTGGTGTGTAGCAGAGCCTGAGCTCCTGACATTCAGACTCATGTCCTTTCCTATATTGTGAAAATTATATTGTGGCTAAAGAAAAGGATTACTTCCTGGCTATTATGAGGTTTCACTGAATCTAAGCTGTCTGAATTAATATGCAGTCTTTGTTGCCACAGTAATGCTATTTTTCTGATATTTAGGCCCTATCCACACATTCTTTCTACACCAGCAGCTCAAACAATGTCTGCCTATGCAGGCCAGACTCAGTATTCGGGAATGCAGCAGCCAGCGGTCTACACAGCCTACTCACAGACAGGACAGCCCTACAGCCTGCCCACTTACGGTATTTCACGTCTTCTCTCTTCTCCTTTGGTTATAAGCTTGTAATCCTGCTAGTTGTATATTCTAATATAAGATATCACACGGAAGTAAGATCATTTAGTAATTAAATGGTTTGCACATGCATTTTCCAAACAGATTTGGGTGTGATGTTGCCAGGCATCAAGACAGAGAGTGGACTTCCACAAACTCAGTCTCCATTACAGAGTGGGTGCCTCAGTTACAGCCCAGGGTTCTCCACCCCACAGCCAGGCCAGACACCTTATTCTTACCAGATGCCAGGTAAGTAGACACACGGGAGATGTGTTATGTGAGAACAAATTCTTTGAATGAGCCTCCTTGGCTTCAGACTAGAATTATATAGTCATGAAGATGGTTTTAAACATTAAACCTCTACTCACACAATTTCATCAGAAAAGAAACATGATGAAAAAGGTTGAATATACATCAAGATATATGACCCATATTCAATTTAAATACTTAAATTTAAGTTGCACCAAATTGGCAGTAAACTTGGTCCAAGCAAAGCAACCTCTGAGCCAGTCACCATGCCAGCAGTCACATGTTTAGCATCTATTTAAGTGATTTCAAAGATTCATGACAAAAACCACCATTTTCTTGTTAGTATTTTTAAGGGTATAATGCTGTTTTTATTCTATTTAAAATTAAGTTAGTACTTTCTAAGTCCCATTTACCATTGAATGAGGATTTTTTTGTTCATTCCTAAAATACCTCTCCCCTATTGATACTACATTTCTTAATAGGAATATTTATATAATTTAAATATACCACCACCACCCAAAATCCTCCCTATATGGTTATTGTTTAATTTTTCCCCTTGTTTTTTACTCCAATTAAAAAATTTTTTAAATCACTGTGTGGTTATTGCAGAAAAAATTTAGTCACATAATAAAAACATTAAAAGCTTATTCCTAGCTGTCATTTTGTCTATATTATCAAACTAAAAAATTTGGGGTTATATTAACATATCTGAAACAACTAGAATAGACATTTGAGTCAGCTGACTAAAATGAAATGATTACTTAGACTTTTTAGCTGAAATGGCAGGTCTCTCTTTACCTAGAATGTAGGGAGAAATATATTTGTTCACATGCTACAGCCTCAGTAAATATGTGACAGAGACCATAGAGACATTTTCATTTATTTCCCCAAGTACGTTCGTATTGGACATTCCAGGTCAGGACAATTTGTGTTAATTGCATACTATTCAAACCCATTGGTAAAATAATAAGCTGCCTCAGTAGTCTTTCCCTTTGCCTCTTAACAAGTACATTCCAAAAGAACATATTTAAAAAATAAATCTGCAAATTGATAGTTCACCTGTTTGCCTTAATTTAAAAATCATTGAATAAATTTCTGACCTAATAGTAAATTTTAGAAGACCCTCAAACCTTAGATTATTACAGTACAAGCCCTATTGAGTCTGAGCCCTAGTTCCTAGCTCTTTTTGTTCTAAGGAAAGAACACAAGAATGAAAATACAGGGGTGGCAAGCATCAATTAAGTCTAAGTGGGTTCTATTGTTAATCTCTTAAGCTAACACTATCCAGATATTTAACTTGGGTGATTTTTGTATGCAAATGCAAGTTGATATGACCATTTGAAAATTGAGTAGAATGGAGTTCCACTCATCTGGAAGTAGTCTCAGTCTGTATAATATTTTATTCTTTGAATATTCTGTACTTCCAGACACTTAACCCTTAAAGGTTAGCTGCAGTCCTTGTTAAGACTGTTGTAGATGTTACCTGTTATCACAAGAGGTATAGAGTCAAGCACATTTTCCTTATAAACCTCTCAACTTCAAATTTCACTGTCTTAATAACAAAATTAAATATATATATATGTATATATATATCATTGAATCTGAAAGTGAAATATTTTTTATTTTACAGTAAATCCTTTAAGAATTCATTTTTTATTTACTTGTAGGTTCTGGATTTGCACCATCATCTACTATTTATGCAAATAATTCAGTTTCTAATTCAACAAATTTCAGCGGATCACAACAGGTATAGTAGTTTTTGTATTCTTGCTTCTTTATGTCTATTTCAGATTTGGGAAGAATAGTTTCAGGTTGCCACATAAGTGCAAATTCTCCCAGAATAAGTTTTTTAAATTTAAAATTAAGATAGCATTTTGAGGAAATAAAAATTAGCTATCCAGAATTTTTGGGATATGGGTAATTCTATATATCTTAGATTTCCTGTTCACTAAAGGTTTGCCCTTTACACTTTAAGCTGTGATTGTTTTAATTATTTGACATGGAACTACAAAATGTATTGCAAACTTTGCTATCATCATAAACTAAACATAATTTAGTTTAAGACTAAACAAAATTATACTAAATATAACTTTATTTTTTGATAAAACAGTTTATTAATATTAATTGATTGAACTGTAATCAATAATTGGATTGTGCTGTCATTTTTAGTCCAAAATGACATTTGTTACTAAACAAAGTTCCCTTTGGACTACTTTTGGCTTTTATGTTTTACTTATTTATTTTTAACATATTTTTATTAATTTCAGAGAGTAAGGAAGAGGGAGAGAGAGAAGGGAACATCAATGATGAGAGAAAATCATTGATCAGCTGCCTCCTGCATGCCCCCTACTTGGGATTGAGCCCACGACCCGAGCACATGCCCTAATGGGGAATTGAACCTGGGACCCTTCAGTCCACAGGCCGATACTCTATCAACTGAGCCAGACCAGCTAGGGCAACTTTTGACTTTTATTTTTACTTTTTAGTTTACTAGGTAGCATGATAACATAAGGGAAAGAAATAGTCTGTTCTACTTAAGAGGATTAAAGATTCATAAAGGAGAGGAAAGATTTATATCATAAAACAGATCCAATGCTACCTGAATATTTAAATACAGTGGCTCCAATATAAAATATAGTCTGTATTTTGGACCATGGACTGAGTACCAATTTAATATTTAAGCAAATACTCATTGAGTACTTATTCTGTATTAGAAATGGGAGGGAGGTATTCTAGGGAAAGGAAGGTAGGGATGGGTTGGATTGGACCTGATCCTATCTCATGGATCTTACAGCCTACGGAGAGAAGTTGACAATAAACCAGTAAACAGACAGGTAAATATCCAATTAGCATGAGGGGAGAGAACAGGGTCCTATTAAAAATATTATTAGAAATCTAAGTGGAGTAGGGGAGATTTTATGGAAGGCCTGTCTATGGAACTAACATTTAGGCCAAGTCTTCTAAGGGCTGGGTGAAGAATGAGGGCAAGGGTGTTTCAGGCACAGAAAGCAGATGTACTAGATCGCCCAGGGCTGATAAACTTGCTGTGTCAGTCTGGAGTTTAGTTTGTACCTGAGGGTCCGGTGGGGAAACACATCTGCACAGATGGACAGGGGCCTACGCAAGTAGGGCCTTGTGCTGTATAGGAAGACATTTAGATTGTATTCCAATCCCAATGGAAAGCTATTAAAGGATTTTGAACAGGAGAATAGCATCACGTAATTTATGTTTTGAAAAGATTACTCTAGCTTCAGGGACTTTGGAGAAAGCCAAAAATAGAAAGGAGGAGACAAATTAGAAAACCTGTCCATTGGCTCCAACAGCAAGTAAAGGTGGCTTGGACCAGGGTGGCAGAAGAGGAAATAAAGAGAAGCAGAAATCTTGGAGATATGTTTGAGAACAAAAAGACATTGTCTTCCCCGGAAGCTAGTAATCTGGACTTTTCCAATAAGTAAATTCATCTTCCTTTAAGCCACAGGTGCAGGTCAGGCTCTCTGGCCTCCAGTTGCAGTTCTGAGACTTGCTAGCTGTCTGACCTCGGACAAATCCTTAAGCACTCCCTGCCTCCGTCCCCTTTACAGTAAAATGTGAATAATGATAATACTGCATAGGGGGTTGTGAGGGTTAAATGACTAAGTCCATTTAAGGCTTCAGAACAGTACCTGACACAAAGTAATCACTATGTAAATGTTTTTACTGCTTTACTCTGTAAAATATGTGTTGCTAGGCACTTTGTCCAAATATTGCAAGTTTTTTTTGTTTATGGGCTCACAGGTGGTAATGGGGAACATCAAATCTAGAAATTAACAGATGGATAGAATTTTAGTTTTCTGCCATACTACTTAATCCTTTCTGATAATATTTGTTTATACACATATGTACTTACACAGAGAATTACCTTTTTTGGGAATCACATCAAACATGGATCTTCTTGCCCTTAGGGCCATCTATTAGGGAACCTTAATCCTGACCAAGGCTTTGTCATCATTAATAACAATTTTAGCTAAAACACACTAGATACATTAAATATCAGTTATCACAACAAATCCTTGTTCATGATCTTAATATGTAAAAGAATTTTGAAGGATTATTAAGATCACTTTAAGGTTCTTAAAATTTTTAAATAGAAAGCAAGTCAGAAGATTTGATCCAATGTTTTCTTTTTTTTTTTCCTGTAACAAATGAGGCAAACAAATGTTTGAAAACCTCACTAAAATCTTCAAGTCAAGGCCTCAGGTGACATGTGTCCTGTGAGAGAAAGAAAATATTTTATTCATCTTCTTTTACTTACTGTTTATCTCCTGACAAGAAATCAAAATTATACAGGGTAGCCAAGAAGGGGAATAAAAATCACAATAATGCAGCCTGAGGTGTGCATGGAAGCTGGGAGGAGCAGCCACACCTCCCCTTGCAGGTGATGTTCAATATATGAGAACGGATGCTATGAATATGAATTGACTCCATCTCCTTCTTGCCTATTCAATTGCATAAGACATGTTGATTTATATCCTTGGATAAGTAATTTTGGGGCCAAAATGAAGCATATGTACCCTTTAGACAGATTAAAATGTGTGTATTGGATCTGGTTTGCAAAACCAGCAAAGTAATTCATGACAATGTGTATACAGAAGGTGCCCACAAAATTGTCTCTGCCCATTGGAATCAACTCAAAGCTGTGGACTCTAAAACAAATGGAGCCAAATACTCATCTTACAGTTTACCATAGCGATTGCTTCCTTTTCAAGCCAGCCAGAGAGTAATTTCTATTTCAAACACACACATCTCAATTACTGTTTCAGGATTATCCATCCTACACAGCCTTTGGCCAAAACCAGTATGCACAGTATTACTCCGCATCAACGTATGGAGCATATATGACATCAAATAACACAGCTGATGGCACATCGTCCTCAACCTCAACCTATCAGTTGCAGGAATCTCTCCCAGGACTGACTAGCCAACCAGGTACAGATCTTCATCCAGGTGAAATACTTTCATATGTTTTGCTGTGTCTAATAATATGGAGAAAATAGACATTTCAGAAATAAGGCTGAAAGCTCCCAGATGATTATGCTGATGTTTAATCTGTGCTAGTACCACTGCGTAAGATGACATTCTGGCATTTGGAAAACACTTCTTTTAGATGTGGAGCAGTTAGGAGATTTAGATTTTAATCTTAAATGGCAGTGTGTATGTGAATATAAGTGGATATAAAAAGGTCAGTGGGCCTTTGCCAGACTATTTTGTGACGGTCTTAACAGCATAGAAAAGTTGTAGTATTATCTTCTTTGGATATAACTGACCATATGTCCTTTATGCTTGAGAGACTGCATAGTTCCTTCACCTTCATGAGGCATCAGTGCCTGAAATCAGTGAATGTTCCCTACCTTCCTAGGGTTTTTAGGATCATTGCAAAGTAGTCTAATATCTTTGCCTAGTCAGCACATATTTAAAATCCATTATATTTTTTTGTTATCTGAAGCTTATCTGTTTTCTTATTGGAATTGTATTTGCTGAAACATATTTAACCCAGCTGAAACATTTAAAGTTAAAAGCAAATTTAATAGAAATTCATCATAATCCCAATAGGACTTTTTGGAGAAATGATCAAGGTGACTCTAAAATTACAAGGAAAGGCAAAGGAACTAGAATAGCCAAAATAATTTTGCAAAGTAAGAACAAAGTTTGAGGGCTCACATTGCCTGATTTCAAGACTTATTATAAAGAACAGTTATCAAAAATGCGTGGTATTGGCAAAAGGACACATACTTGGAGCAATGGAATAGAACAGAGGGTCCAGATATAGACTGACTTACATACACTGGAAAATGGGTTTTGACAAAAGTGCAAAGGCAATTGGAGAATGAGTAGGTATTTTTGTTTGTGGCTTTTAAATTTTTTATTTTATTTTTTCCATCACAATTAATCCCCTCTATGCACTCTTCCACCTCCACCCATCCCCTGCTTCCGCAATCATGACACTGTTGTCCATGAATTATCTTTTTTTTTCTTTTTTGATCAATCTCTCACCCCTCCCCACCCCACTCTCCTTGGACATGCATAAACAAAATTTTAAAAAACACACAAAACTAATAAACAATAAAATCTGCCAGAATCTTGACTCTTAATTCATGGAAAAATTCATACCATATACAATAAATAGATGTCAAAACTAAAACTATAAAACTTCTAGAAGAAGACTTGGGGGAAATTTTGTGGCCTTTGGTTATGTAAAGATTTTATAGATATGATAGATAATATTCAGATCTGATCAGATTTTCTGTTTAATTTAAAGAAGAAATTATTTCTACTTGTAACTATATTATTATCTCAACCAAAACCATAACAATACACAAGTCTGGATTTTTAAGATATTCTGTGATCTCAGAACTTTAGTCAAGATACTTTAAGTTTGATTTTGTCTTTCAGATCTTGCATGCATACAAAAAGTAAACTAGTTCGTAACTATGAGATTTTTCTTTCTTATTATTGATGAACTCTGAGCTATTTAGTTTAATGGTATGAAAATTATTTCCTATTAACCAACTCTGCATTTTGGAATTAAATCAGAGACCTAGCAATTAAATCCACAATTTTTCATAAATCATTTTCTGTTGACTTATCTCATTTTTAAAAGAGAAACATACTTCATGTTCTATAAGAGACAGCTGGTTGTTTTGATTTAGTGATAAACCCTAATGAAATAAAGTTGGATTTAAAAATATAAAACATGGAAGGTACAGTTATTCATTACTGTACTGATTAAAGGATAATTATTCAATCATGTATGGTGTTGGCCCAAGAAAATGCCTAAGGTAGTTGGTAATGACTGATGTTATTTGGAAATTGCAAATAGCATTCAGTTATTACTTTACCTTATTAGGTAGTTTGACAGTGTATTTAAACGAAACATTACTATGCTGATTAAGAACAGATATTTTAGTTCATTATCTTTAGAAAGACCTCTCTTTGCTTTTAACATAAAGATTATCTTAGGTATATTATAATTTTGATTTGCATTCAGAAAGTGATGACTGATTAGTACATGAAAATTTGAGATATTTTTATAGCTCCTTTTTAAAATATTTTAAACATCTTTAACATTATATATAATTAGTCATTTGTAACAATATTATCCTTTACTCTGAGCCCTTGGCAGACATTACAATACATTTAGCTGATTAAATTTTACAAGTGCTTCAGAAAAGTAAGGGATATAGTAAGATCACTTCACTCTTTGAAAAGAAGCCAGTTTCTTAGGCAGAACTCAGTAGACTTTCCATAGCTTCATGGCATTTCACTTAAGGACAGGAAGGAAACAAAGTGCTAATTCAGTTCGTGGAAGCTAACCAGAGGATTTAGGTAGAAAGAACTGACCACATTTAACTCCTCCGCCAATCTGCATTTCCCATACCTGCAGCATTAATGTACCCTAGTGCAATTACCTGAGAGAAATTATTTGGCAGAGGCCCTGGAATTGACAGCTTTCTCCTTACAAAAAAAAAGTGTCAATAAATGTTTAATGACCAGTTGAGCTCAAGTTCCTGGTTTTACCCTTTATCAGAAAAAAAGGATAGCATCTTCAAAAGCTATAGAGGTCAGAATAGTTCCACCTGGATGGTTGCTATAGGAGTCCAGATACTGCTGTGGCCTCTTCAGGACCTGCTCTTTTACTATAAACTTCTTTTTTTAAATTTTCTTTATTGATTAAGGTATTACATATGTGTCCTTATCCCCCCATTGCCCCCCCCACACCCCTACTCATGCCCTCACCCCCCTGGTGTCTGTGTCCATTGGTTAGGCTTATATGCATGCATACAAGTCCTTTGGTTGATCTCTCCCCCTTACCCCCACCCTCCCCTACCTTCCCTCTGAGGTTTAACAGTCTGATCAATGCTTCTCTGTCTCTGGATCTGTTTTTGTTCATCAGTTTAGTTCTTTTGATGAATTTCTTGGCTTTCACTTTCACAAATTGTATAAAGTCTGTATAATTCTTGATTAGTAAAAACAGATATAGGTTTGTAATTAAGAGTGTCCATTGCGGTTTGGAGGAGGAAGTATAAGCCTAGTGGTTAAGGCAGCAGTTCTGGAATCATATCACAATTCCTCACACAAACTATTTCATCTTGGTAAGTTAAGTCCCACATGTCTCCAGTTTTCCCAAGATTAAAAGAGGATAATGAAAGACCAGATTCACGGAGTCAAAGTGAGGTTTATATCATATAGCTATAGACATAGATGCAGATATAGATAAAGAATGTTTCACAATAAAGAGTGCTGACAAATCAATAAGGAAAAGAGAACCCAATTTTAAAAATGGGCAAAAGATATAAACACTTATATCAAAAAAAGAAGATACCAAATGGGAAATTAGCATACAAAAAAGTGTTTCACATCATTTCTCATCAAGAATATGCTAATTAAATCTACAATAAGATACCACCATACCCCCACAATGACTAATGTAACAGAGACTAGCAATATCAAGTATTGGCAAGAATGTCAAGCAACTGGAATTCTCATTGCTAGTAGGAGAGTGAATTAATACAACCACTTTGGAAAAAGGTGATCAGAGCTTGTTAAACATGGACATATGCCTTTCCTCTGACCTAACAGTCCCACTGCTAGGTATATATACCTTAGAGAAATGGGAGCTAAGTCCACAAAGACAAGAACAATAAAGTTTATAGCAGCTTTATTCATAGTTGCCTAAAATTATGAATAATCCAAATGTATATCAACAGAATGATAAATAAAGCATATATACTAGTACATATATATTGAAGTTCTAGCCACATTAAGGAAAGAACAGATGACTGCCCCAAGCTACAAATGTGAATCAATCACACAGACATAATGAGCAGTGAATAAAGTCAAACATATTTTAATAAACATTTTAAAAGGAAAGACAGTACATGAAAAAAAAATCCTTAAGGTTGAATAAATATGGAGCTGCTCCTCTTAGTTCTTTAAAAAAGCTATCAGAACACTTCTGTCCATATTGTGTCCAAATTTTTAGAGCCCTTTTAAGATCTTGGAGTAACTTGGAAAGAATCTGTGATATCAAATCCCATTTTTATTGAAACCCAAACACTTCTTATAAATACTCCTTTCCCTGCCCCTCCTGCTCTTTTCATTCCCTTGCTGTTGGCTCCCAATTTATTGGAATAGCTGAGTTGTTTCTGCCAAACTCCTTCTTTATGGATCCAGTCAACCATCAACCACCCATAACATCACACTGACTTGGGGATTTTGCAAGTTTTTGTCCTTTCAGCCCTTGTACTGTTGCAAGAACAAAGCTGCTTTGTGATATTTAACACCTGAAAAATGATCTAGAATGAAGAGAAAGACAGGTTGTATGGAATGTCATCCCAAAAATATTATTATAAGCTTATTTAATAAATTAGGGTTAATTATAACCTACATTTTATTTGAAAGAGAACATTTGACTTGCAGGACATAGCAGCCTTAGGAAAATTCTGTTAAAAAACAACAACTAAACATAGAAAAAAAATGTTGTGATATATTTTGGAAGTTGGTGTGTGTTTAAATACCTAAAGCCTAATTAATGCCTATGCAAGTAAACTAAAACATGATTTACTGTAAGATAGGGCTACATTTAACCTCATTACTAAAACTTTTTATTATGCTGTCTACTCTCACACAGTTGATAGCAGAGGTCCACACAATGAACTGTGCTAGCAATGTTTTAAGAGCAAATGATATTTGGAGCACAGACATACTTTTCGATGCTGTCCTGACATGCACAATGTTTCCCAAAGATGTTATAACTGTTACAAATGACTACAAGCTAGCTATGCAGAATTTACTATTATTTAGAACATCTCAGAAAAAATAATACCTACACGTTATGTAGTTTGTTCAGATTTGATTATTTATATTAAAAACTGTTCAGCTGTCCTCAAAATTATTTTACTTTAATTTCATGGTAAAGCATGCTAATCATAGCATCTTTATGTTTAAAATTGCATAACCTAAATTTAATATAGTTTGCCATCAGACTCTCCTAGAAGTTTTTACTTTGTGCATATTAATTAAATCCAATTAAATGTAAACCAGCTCTATCTCAATAATTCAAAAAAGTATTACTCATGCTTTAATATAACACACACACACACACACACACACACACACACACACACACCTGAGAGTCAGAGAGATTGCGTAAAATGCTTGCAGTCGTAGGATAAATCTGACTCTTGTTACTTGTGAGGTTTTGCTGCACCTCACTGTTGCCTCCATTTGTTTATCTTAACACACCTCAACCCCCCCCCCCATATACACACAGATTTGCCACTGCTCAGTACTTCCTACCTCATAAGATGCTCCACCATTAGCTTTAGACATGCCAGATTTTAAGGTATCTGTGGAACATGAAGAAATCAATCAGATACAAAGTCTGAAACTTAGGATATAGCCTGGTTGGGGATATAGATTTTTTTAACAGTCATCACACAGAGGGTGATTAACATCATGGATCACCCAGATGATGTGGCATGAGAAGGACAGTGATCAAAGCATGGAACTTGTAAATACCAACATATAAGGAATGAGAGAAAAAAAGGAGTCCAGGTCTCTTAGGAAGAGAAGGTGAGAGAGATCCTTGACTTAGGAGAGTGCATGGTGTCAGCTGCCAAATAATGGTCTGAGGGGTGCTGTTTAAGAGGATTAAACCCAGCATGGAGATCCAAGAATATAAGATCTGAGTCTCTCTATTGCATTTGTCAATGAGGTAATTATTGGGACTTTGCATCAGAGTAGTTTTACAGTTTTGGTGAACTGAAGCTAATTGATGACAAATCGGCTGTCAGGAAGTGGAGAGAGATGTGCTGTCCAGCACTGTAGCTGCTGGCCACATGCGGCTATTGAGCCCATGCCCTGTGGCCAGTACAGATTGAGGTCCACTGTAAGTGTAAACTACACACAGGATTTTAATACAAAAAAAGAGATATGTAAAGCATGTCATTGATAATTTTATATGGATTACATGTTGAAATGGATATTTTGGATAAATTAATTCAATTAACATATATAAATAAAGTTAATTTTACATGTTTCTTTTTATGTTTTTTAATGAGGCTTCCAGAAAATTTTAAATTATATATGTGGTTACATTTGTTGTTCACATTTTATTTCTGTCAGACAGCACTGGTATGCACTATTCTTTTTAAGAAGTGTCATTTTAAAAAATAAGATAGCAAGCAGATAGCTTCTAGATGGAAATGTGAGGTCAAAGGGAAGGACTTTTAAACTTGCCTATGACCCCAGAAGAGGAAAAGGTTGGCCAGAAGATGAGAGAGGGTTTGACTAATGGAGCAAGATTCCTTAAGAGGTGGGGTAGAGGAGTCAAGTTTGCATGGAATTGATCCACAAGACATTTCATCCTCTGAACTCTGATGTAAGGAGGTGAGAACAGATTTAAATTTAGATAAATATATAGGTGGGGGTAGAAATTGGAAGTTGAAGGCATATGGAGTATAAAAGGTGTTCAGGTCTAATAGATCACAGAGACTGAAACTTGGGAGGGATTTGTTGGGAGGGATTTGTCTGACCTACAGACAGATTTTTTTGTCCCTTTAGAATTTTGGGTATTTGGGAGTATAAATCAATCAATCTCTCTCTCTCTCTCTCTCTCTTTCTCTCTTCCATCCTAAGATTTCTGTTCAATAAGAGTTTAAGATGATTAATAATGAAGACTCATGCCTAATCTAAAAATGAAGTGCTATTTTTGATGTAACTTATGTATTTTTAGGAGAGTTTGATACCGTGCAGAGCCCCTCCACACCCATTAAAGATCTTGATGAGAGAACATGTAGGAGTTCTGGGTCAAAGTCCCGAGGAAGAGGCCGGAAAAATAACCCCTCCCCACCTCCCGACAGTGACCTGGAGGTATGCTGACTCATCCTCAAAGAGTGTAATATGATGTTTTATTTTTATTGAATACATATTCTATACTTACAGTTTCATAATGCTTCAAACTTTAAATATATATTATATATATATATATAATATATATATATATATATATATATATATATATAAAATCATGATGAAAGGAGTGGATCTACTTTGTAGTGGGCATTTCACAGCTGAAAGTTTGAGATTTCACCCATTGTAATGGCCAAATTTAAAAAAAAAACACACAACTTAAAAGTGATAATGAGTTACAAATTCTAGGTCTGAGATAATTGCATCTTTTGGTCCACGTTGGTACAAACAAATTTTAAAAACTGTTTCTGGGGTAATTTTCTGAGAAACACTTCATTTGGTGGTACTAATGTAATGAAAGATAGTTATATGGGTCAATTAATTTTAAAAGGTAAAATTAATCTGTATGAAAATGCAAAGTTATCTTCTGAAAATAGAAAAAAAAATTCCCATCATCTGATACAGGTTAAAATTTTTAGATCTGTAAAAATTTTCATGAGCCTTTTTTTTTGTTCTGGTTGAAAGCTCTTTTGAGATATATCCATACAAAACAGGTTGACTTTTATTATAAAACATCAGGAGACACTATTCTTAACCTTAATCTGTTACTTCTTAAACAACTGCCTACTTCTGATACCAAATTTTTGGACTGGAACCCAGATTCTTTGTCCGCCAGAATCAAAGAATGAATCCAAGGACAGAAAGTGGTATAGCAAAGGTGGAAATTTATTGAAGAATAGATGCAGACTCCCACATGGGGTGAGAGAAGAGTCCCACGGAATGAACTCCCACGTAGGGAGGGGGAAAAGGTCCCACTGGTCCCTTTTCCCTATGGTTTATAAAGGCTGCAGTTCCTGTGTCCTGATATCCCCTATGATTGGTCACTATTCCCCTTTGAATTGGTTACTATAGTGATTCCTAAGCCCCTCCTTCCTCATAGTCCTTCCATTCCTCTGGGCTTTCTTCTTTTCCATCTGAATGAAGGGCTTCCTTCTCTTTATTTTGTAAATATAGACCTTTCTTGGCTACTTCCAGTTCCCTTGTCTTATGTAAATGCAACTGTTGCTGCTCCCTTGTCTTATGGAGATGTAAGTGCACCTGGCTTCCTTGTGTTATGGAAATGTACCTTCTCCCAGTGGGCAGCCCCTTGCTTTTCCATGGACCCCAATTCCAAAAAATCCCTAATCCTGCCTACGTTTCCCCTAAAATTCCTGCTTCACTTCAATTAAGAAAAAACATTAAATTTCCAGATTTGGTCAAGTTAGGTAATTGTCATTACACCTTTTTCATGAGAGATCATTTCCTTTACCTGAACAACAGTAGCAGATTCAAATGCATTCAGGGACTCAGCAGGTGACAATCGATGGGTGAACTGGGCTAGGAAGCCAGCCTACTGAGAGAGGAGAGAGCATTGGCCCAATCAAAAGGGGCCCACCCCTCCCTGTGGCACCTCAGCCAGCATTGCTGCAGCTTTCAGTTTCTCTGCTACAGTGAGAACCCTGAAGTTTGTTTGAAATTTCCTAATCTTAAAAAATTGATCAATAATTTGAAATATTTCACTGTGCAGACCAAACAACCCACCTGATGGTCTAAGCTGACTCAAGAGCTCACACTTGGTAATATCTATTTAAGGATTATTATTGAGTCTTTTAAATATTTTTAAATTTTTAATTCTTTGAATGTATTGTAAAATATCACAAATCTATGAGGCAGAAAACTTTAAGATAGAGTTTCAAGTTCACTTCTATCACAAAGTCCAAATGTGTCTTTTGGGGTATTAACTGCAAATAAATATTTGGGTGAATTTCTTCAAATTAGGATATCTGATTTTTAAGCTTATTGTTTGTATAACTCTTGCTTCTCAGGTTTTACAGGGGTTAGATCTGGAAAATTTGGGGGGAAAAATTAATGGCGTAGCATAGGTTTCTCTAAAATGGTATCAAGAGTATATCCAACAACAAAATGAGATGCTTTTTACTTATAAAGAGATTTTTGCTTCCTTATAATTTAATAATTCTTTGATATTTATCTTTTTCTTCAGCGTGTGTTTGTCTGGGACTTGGATGAAACCATCATTGTTTTTCATTCACTGCTCACAGGTTCTTATGCCCAGAAGTACAACAAGGTAAGCAATCAAGACATTTTACCCCAAGAAACCTTGCTAGAATTTTATTTTGCTGAAAAATCAAGAGCCATTTAAAAATATATTTAGCCATCTGGGTGGCTCTATTGATAGAGCATTTTCTGTGCATGAAAGGTTGTGGTTCAATTCCTGATCTGGGCACATACCTGATCCCCAATTGGAACACGAGCCAAAGGCAGCCAATGTTTCTATTTCACATATATGTCTCCTCTCTCTCCCTTCCTCTCTAAAAAATCTATCAAAAAACATATTTTTGGGTGAGAATTAAAAGGATAATTAGAAAAAAATACATTTAAGTGGTTTCATTGCAGTCGATCAAATCTGCTCTTAATTATTTCTTTCTACTGGCCCATCATTTCTTTATGTGAATTGGGAAATTTCACAAAACTAATAAAAAATTGCATTCTTGTTTCTTCTTCATTATTGAGTTTTCTACATCGAAATCAAGCTTATTACTTTGCTATAATTATTTTATAAAATTTTTGTAAATCGAAATAGACTTTAAGCATATAAAATTACTATGTGTGTGTGTGTGTATATATATATATATATATATATATATATATGTATATATATATATATATATGCAACCATTAAGACCGAAGGACCAAACGACCAGTCACTATGATGCTCACTGACCACCAGGGGCAGACGCTCAATGCAGAAGCTGCCCCCTTATGGTCAGTGCACTCCCACAGTCAACCTCCTGTGATTCCCTCCCCCCATCCCCCCTAGCTGTCCAGCCCCAATCTCCCCAATAGGGACTGGGCGAGACGGCCCCTGATTGACCCTGATCGCCAGCCAGGCAGAGGGACCCCACCTGTGCACGAATTTGTGCACCAGCCCTCTAGGCCTTTAATAAGGGAACTAAAATATTGCTTCATTTGTTGCCCCAAATGTTGCTATAAAATGCTATTTAGAATAAGGAAGTAATCTTTTGTCGCTCAACCACTGAGCCACGCTGGCTGGGTGCTGTCATTGTCATAGTGGGCTAGCTTCTTATAACCGTGTTGTTACACACCTGTGTGAGTGCTTTTTCAAAGATTGATGAAACCGCAACAGGCTTTTCAGCTGGAAACACAATTGTTTATGTCATTACTATTTGTGTCTTTGACTCTCTAGGATTCATAATTTAACAAGAGTCAATTCAAAGCATGGTGGCCCTCCTTCAGTTACCGGTTTCAAAGTTGTATCTGACTTTGGTTCACACATACAGAATTGTCTTCGTATTTCTTTGTAGTGTCACATTATTTAATAGGGTCTCATGTCAGCTCAATGTGCAGTTTTTAGCAAGTTTGTTAAACTTTGTCTTCTAGATTAGTAATGATGAATTGCACTCATGTTCTTCCTCCTAAAATGCAACCTTGGTGAATCTGCGGGGCATTTGATGTTTAGTGTAGGTAATGAATGCTGCTAAACTGATATGAAAGGTAACAATTTTGTTTAATTACCATTTAGAAGAAGGAGTCTTAGTCCCTTCATCTCAATCATTGTCATCTAAAACATTGAGCAAGATGCATGCATATGTGCCAAAAACACACAAGATGCTCAGCTGAAATAAGGAAAGAAAATGTTAGTGTATGAGCACACACACACACACACACACACACACACACACACACTTGTATCTTGAAGTTTCTATTGTTGTCTGTTTCATAAAGCACATACTTTGTAAACACATGCATATGATTATAATTTAAAGAATAGGTATATAATTAATAAGTAAATTATACTACACATAAATTTGGTGTGCATGCCAAAATTATATTAGTGATAGAGTATACCATCTAAAAAGTTTCCAGACAATAATCTAAAGCATTTCTTATGGAATAATTTTGACTTATGAGTAGTACACAGTAAATTCTGTTGAACTGATTACAATATTGTTGTGCAGCTAGTTTCATATTAGATAAACAATCTAACTTGAACACATGAATTCAAATAAAGTTCCCTTCAAAATGGTCACCATCAGTGTCTATATCTAAATATCTGTGTTGCTTCCATTATGCCATATCAGTGGTAGAACTAATCTTTTTTTTGCAATTATCTTTAGCTTTTTAAAATATTTCCTGACTTCAGACCTTCATTCTTCCATGGTAATTTTGATCTTTAGAAATAAGGTCATTTGAACCCAAGGCAATGAATAAGGGGTGTAGTCAAAATATCATTATTTTTCTTTTTGTCAAAAATACCATAAAGTTGCTTCCATCCCAGGACTGAGCATGGACTTCCATTTGGGATAATTAGGGGGGTGCCAATAAAGAGCTGAGGAGGGTGAACCATCAAAAAGAAATGAAGCTGCTTTTCTTGAGTGACTCATAAACTGGCTCTAAGAATACTTCCAAAAGCAAAGTTCTCACACCTCCCTCCGCAGTGGTGCATCACTGCGATTAACCTGTCCCCTCCCCCATATGGCAGCCTGGACACACAGCCTTCATTTCACATACAAGTTCCACTATTTTAAAGTATTGTCAGAAGCTTTGTTTGAATACAAAATGGACACATTTTCTATGCTTATAGTTGCTTAAAATAGCAGAGTTTTCCAGAAGGCTGGCACAAAGCTAGGGGAAGAAGGAAACCAATGTTTTATGTAATGCCCACGATGTGCCAGGCAATAAGTGTCACCATTTTAAGGGGTAGGTTATTCGCCCCAATCTGTAGATGAGGAAACATGCTCAGAAAGGAAGTAAAATGTGTGAAAGTCACACAGCTAGTTGGTGGCAGAGATGAACCCTGGGTCCTTAGACTATTTGTCCCCAAAGCTTGTGTTGTTTCTGCTGCAGCACATCACACAGTATAGACATGTCATCTACTATGGACACATATGTAAGTGACTTTTCCTGAAAGGAGTAAGGACAATTAGTGAGGTTCTGTGTAGACAATTATGTGAGTTCTCCTTTAAGTTGGAATAATTCTGATTCTCTTCTGTCAGGTGATTGGGATATTTTTCCATCAACAAGGAAAACTTAAATGTTCAGTGAAATAAAGTGGGGCAGACAGTTATCAGTGCCTCATGGTGGTATGGAATAGGCAAAGGATCAGGGTCACTACTGGAAGGTGTGGGAAAATGAACATACATGTACAGAACACCTGGCATGTGGTAGAGCCTGTGTTTGGCTTTTCACAAGCAATAAGGACGGTGGTTAAGGACAAGAGCCTTTGAGTCAGATAAACCTAACTTTGAGAACCCAATGCTCATGTGTTCAGCTTTCTGACACTGAGCAAATTTCTTAATCCCTCAGCTTCAATTTCTTTAAACTTGAATAATACTGTTTATAGTGAATAAGAATTAGACAGAAAACACGTTTAAAGGGCTTAGCAGAACTCTTAGTGTGAATTAATTCTCAAAAAAATTCTGTTATTAGTCACTTTCACAAATGTTAACCCACTTAATTCTTGTAATTACTGTGCTGTAATTTATGGGGATCTAAATTCTATGGATGAGGAAGTGTAGATTATGAGGGTTTAAGAAACTTGACTAAGGTTACAAAATGATAAATGCTGCTGGTATATATGTTGGAAACCATATCAGTTCATAACAAGTCCTTGTCCTTTATATTTTTCTCTGCTACTCCAAGGAGGCCTGTTAAAATAAGGAACATTCAAACCTGTAGAGAATTTTTATAGGACTTTATTTGAGCCAAACTGATGATAGTTGCCAGGAGGAGCAAGATCTCAAATGATCCAGCGAATAACAGTGTGCAGTTTCTTTTATGCATTTGAGATTAAGGATGGAATTTAAGGAAGGTTACAGAAAGGTAGGAGAGAGCAAGGCAGGGATTGGATTATAGACTAGTTAAGATTATGTGCTCTCCTGAGGGTGGTCTGCTTTAGAAGGAGGGATCTGCAAAGGGATATTTCAAAGGTGTGAAAACCCAGATGCACAGAAACAATGAAGCTAAGTAGACTGTGCTTTAAGGATTTGACTTATTTTGTAGCATTAATACGTCATGTGCTATGAAGCCATGATTCTCCAAAGTTATTTCACAGTAAGGATGCAAAGGAAGCAGCCTAAGTCGATGAAAAGACTGAAGGAGAAGCGAATCGTTACCTTATAGCAGGGGTGGGGAACCTTTTTCCTGCCAAGGATCATTCGGATGGTTATAACATTATTCACAAGCCATATAGAATTATCAACGTAAAAACTAGCCTGTCATATTTGGTCAAACATTTAATCAACTCACCCCTAATGCCTTGGCAGGGCCAGACCAAGTGATTTCATGGGTCTTGTAAGGCCCTGGGGCTGGACTTTCCCCATCCCTGCCTTATAGTGTCAAATTAAAATTCAAGCTCCCAACACTACTTGCTCATTTTAGACAACATCCTATATAAAAGCAGCACTGGGGAAATAATATGTTCCTAAGGATAAATCAATTGGTTCCTGTTATATTAAACAATCTGTACACAGTTTTATAGCAAGAATTCTTGATTTAATGAGGAGTGATTAGAATTAATCAAGTGTTTGGAGCCATGGATTGGAGGCCTCCCTAGTGGCTAACACCATGCAGGTTACCATCTCTCTGGGCATGATGGTTAAGCCTTCTGGCTTGGAGGAGGAATGGAGCTGAGTTCAAATTTTAGCGCCACCTCTTTCTACACTTGTGCCTTTGGGTAGTTTCTTTGGTGTTTGTGTGACTTCACAATCTTTTGAGAAGAAGAATAAAAAGACTAATTTGATTAGCAGGGTTAAATGAGTTAATGCATTAAAACTCAAAACATGGCCTACCACATAATAAACATTCAAAAGTGTAACCTATCTTACTTGGTTTCAAGGGAATCTGAATGTTGGGGGAACTGGGTGTTTTCTGAGGATATTTGCATGGATTTGTATCTGTTGTTTTATCCCGTAATGTAAGGTATTCACTGAGCTCAATGTTTAGAGAAGCAGAGGGTGACCAGAGAGTGATTGTGGTACGTATGAAATGCTGAATGCAGAGTTTGAAAGCATCTAACATTTTGACAGTGTGTTTCACGGTTGTCCT